CGCCATATTTTCAAGTTTTGTTTATGTATATGGTTTAAATGGGTACTTTGAAAACTTTCAGATATTCTTTAATGGAAACTTTTATTTAAGAAAATCTAAAGGTTAAGAATGATGATTTTGCAGATTGGACACAAGGCAGCATTTCTTCTGCAGTGATTTTATTTATTTATTAAAAAAAAGATTTGATGATCATTTTGTTCTTTTACACTTCTCTCTCTCTCTCTCTCTCTCTCTCTCTCTCTTTCTCTTCTCTCTCCCTGTTTAATAATTTTATACATTCTCTAGGCCATGTTTTTCTACTTTAAAACAATATGGAAAATAGGCTAAACAAGCTCTTATATTGATTTTCAACAACTGCTTATCATTGTTTGCCTTCTCAGATGAAAAGAAGACTATAAAGAGTAATACAAAGGAAAATCCATGTCTCATGTCACACCCTGAGTTTAGTGTATGTCATGAGGGTTGGAGATTTTTGCTTTTTTTTCTTAGAATGTTAAGTATTTTCTATTCAATGCTGTTTGTGGAGGGTGTTATGCAGGAGAAAGGCCAAAGGAAGTGGAACCACCAGTATATATAAATGTAAATAAACATTTAAACCATGAAAACAAGGCCAGCTTACTCAATTCCATACTTATATTAATGCCCAGTGTCAGTTTCCTTTCTCCAAATGTCAAAACTCACAGTCCAATTTGTTGTGCACTGCATCTTTTACATTCGCCGTCCTGGGTTCTCAATGACATCCAATTCATTCCTGCTTCTCTGCTTCTTTTGAAACAAAGTATACTGATCTTATCTTTTAAACTCTCCAAATTCAATGTCAGGAGAAAGTCGTACCCATATTTATTTTTTAATATGAAATTTAGGAATGTAAGAGGACCATAAAAGTACAAATGTACCCAAGTTTTTTGGTTTGGTTTTGTTTTCTGTTTTTTCAATCCCTGCTCAATTTGGGGGAAATATATATACACATACTTTGATCACGAGCCCTGGCGATATAGGGGTCACACACTGGGTTGAGAGCAGCAGTGTTGGTACTTTGAAACCGCTAGCAGCTCCGCAGAAGAACGACCGGGATTTCTAGTCCCATCAACAATTACAGTCTTGGAAACCCACTGTCACTCTGAGTCAGCACTGACTCAATGGCAGTGAGGGTTTTTTTTGTTTGGGTTTTGTTTGTTCTTTGGGGTTTTTTTTGTACTTTGATCAGTCTTTGTGTGCCCAACCAGAAACCTTAAAGTACTATAACTTTTGACCCAGAAAATATATGTCTTGAAACTTACTTTAAGAACAAAATGATCAATTTTCTATTGCCTTGGATTATGACATCATCACTAAAATATTGGTAGTAGGGAAAATGGGGGCAATAGTCATACTTACCAACAGGGAAATGGTTACATTAGAGTGAACCAAAGGATGGACGTGCAAAGCCTCGAGCATGTGTATAATGATTACAGAATAATGTGCAAAATGTTATAACATTAAGAATCAAAACCAGAAACTATTTTATAAAAGATGTCAAATTACTTTGTACACCCAAGTTAAAAACTAAAAAGTCTAATCAAATGTTGAAAGGAATTATTTTGTGTGCAATAAACCTAACAGTAATTTTTCAAAGCTATGTTTCTCTCGTTTTAGATGTCATTTCATGCATATATAATAAGCTCTTAATGAAAAATAAGCATTAATAGAAAAATGCAGTCAATACCCCAGAGCTGTACAAAGATACGGGCCACAAACTTGCATTAAATGCTCCTTGACGAGAGGGGAAAGCAATGCTTGACAAGCATGCTATCAAGACCTACAGGACCCCAGTGCACATGAGAAATATCACAAACCAGCACAGTTTGAGCTGACAAACCCCAAATAAACAAATTGAACTACTGTCTTCTATATGATAGGAACATAATTTGACATCTTTCCTATTCTGCCACCACCTAATTACAACCTACCTGTGCACAGCCTAGTTTACAAAGAATTGTTTACTTACATCAGTCCATGTAAACAACTTAGTTTTCTGAAGTGGAAATAGGAAAAGATAATGTCAATCTTACTACTGATATTTAACACCTCTACTTTATTTGAGCAGCAGTTTGCTAAATTGTACTTATCTCTAGATGATCCATTATATGAACTAAGAATTTAACAATGAAATACTAGATCAAAGATTTGAATTGTTTTATAAAAAGGTTTCAAATATACTTTAACAACATTTTGACACATGTATGACAAGATACTTTTGAAAACTTGGGGAATTATATTCTTTGGCCAATGGTGGCTTGTTTTTCCTGTAAAGTTTCAGATAGTAAACCTTTATTCAGGCTTCGTGGGTCACAAGGGTCTCCCTTGCAACAACTGAACACAGTAGCGTCACCCTAGTGCAAAAGCAGCCATTGATTATATGTAAACAACTGAGCACATCTGTGTTCCAAGAAAATTTTATAGTCGCTTAAATTTGATTTTAATAAAATCTGTATGTCATAAAATAGTTTTCTTTCATTTCTCAACAATTTAAGAATATTCAAAAGAATAAAAATAATTTGTAGTTTGCAGGCTAAACAGAAGCAGTAACTGGCTGAATTTGGCCCATGGGTCATTGTTTGTCAACTTCACTTCTAGAATTATTCATAGTAACTTAGGCCACAGTCCTATCTTTTGTTATATATACCTCACTATCTGGAATTCACTCATCTACCTGTATCTCACCTACAATGTCCCAATTAATTTTGAAACTCTTCCTCAAATATCACCTTTATGAAACCTTTCAAGTTGTTCCTAATCTAATGGGACTTCTCTTCCTTTGAAGCTCCATTGCATTTGGTATTTTCTCTGATTTTCATGATCACTGACCCTTGTCAAGTTTTGTGTATGCAAGCCTTTCCTCCTAAAATTTTGAGAGGTATCCCCACTTGCACATTTCTTATCAACCATGTTGCCTTTCCCAAAGAAGGAAGTCAATACTACTTGAATTGAAAGTTACTTATTCAATTTACTCACTTGTTCATGCAAGTCCCCGTGTTTTGAGTACTAGGTTTTAAGAGCTTAAAGGAAACATTGAGGATCCCTGGTTGCGTAGTGGTTGAGTATTCAGTGGCTAACTGAGAGCTTGGCCTTAGAACCCACCAGCTGCTCTGTGGGAGAAAGGTGTGACAGTGTGTTTCTGTAAAGAGTGACGGTTTTGAAAAACTGTCCTATAGGGTCGCCATGATTTGGAATTGACTCAACAGCAATGAACTTTCAATAGAAACATTACATATTCAAACACAGTTTGATTTCATAAATATTAAAATGTGAAAGCAACATTATATCTTGGAATCAGAAAGTCCACTCTGCTGGCAGGGGGAGGCAGGGGAGAGGGAGCAAGAATAGCCTGTGGTTATCTGTTACAGAGCCCAAGTGTCCGACAGGGACATCCAGCTGCTCAGCCCACAGGACACCACTCTGCTTTCACTGCCCACCTCAAGTGGAGAAAAGTATATGACCTTACATGTGCTAAGGTAGTGGGGATTGATCACGTTGATGCACCTCGCCCATCCCCATGTCAAATGGAACCATCTATATACACAGGAAACTCATGGACCAAGAAGCAACTGTTTCAGAGAAGAAATCAAAGGGAGGTTAATGCTTGGGGGGGGCGGGGGCGAATCATATCATCGTGAATGAGGGTGGCGCGTGATGGGGACCCAATGCCCATCTGTAGACAACTGGACATACCTTGCAGAGGAGTAGTGGGGAAGAGATGAGTCACTCAGGGTTTAGTATAGCAACAATGAAACTCACAACCTTCCTCTAGTTCTTAAACGCTTCCTGCCCCCAACTACCATGATCCCAATTCTACCTTGCAAACCTGGTTAGACCAGAGGATGCACAGTGGTACAGGTGGGAACTGGAAACGAGGGGAATCTAGGACAGATGAACCCTTCAGGACCAGCTGTGACAGTGGCGATACTGGGAGGGAAGGGGGAGAGAAAGGAGGAATCGATCACAAGGATCTACATATAACCTCCTCTCTGGGGAATGGGCAACAGAAGGGTGGGTGAAGGGAGACGCCAGGCAGTGTAAGATAAGGTATAATAATAATTTATAAATTATTAAGGGTTCATGAGGGAGGGGGGAAGCGGGGATGGAGAGGGTGGGGAAAAAGGGAAATGAGGAGCTAATTCCAGGAACCCAAGAGGAAAGCGAATTTTGAGAATGATGAGGGCAACAAATGTATAAGTGTGCTTTACACAATTGATGTATGTATGGATTGCGATGAATTGTATGAGGCCCAATAAAATGATTTTAAAAGGGGGGAGGGTGGTTACTAATTTGAAACTAAATTTTCATCTTTTAAACTACCTAAACTGCAGAGACAAAATAGGAAATCTTTAGGAATCATGATCCCTAGAACCTTCTGGCCTGTATTTAAATCATAGGATTGGCTTTAATTAACTGTATAGTGCTTGAAAAGATGGTTGCCTCACCGAGCCGCAATTAGTTCATCAGCAATATAGAGACTACGATAATATAAGTGAATTATGAGATGAGTGAACTGTTGTGGGGATTAGAAGAGTCAATACATGTAAGTTTTTATGGCAGTGCCAAGTCTGTAACAAGAGACTGATCAACGTAAGTGATGCATATATAAATGTGTATACTGTAATAGTTAATAACAAGTAGCATTGTTAGTGTTAAATAACTTCTAAAAAGTCAAACATACCCCTGTCTCTAGACATGTATTATGTTTTATTTGATTCTAGAAATAGAATAAGGATATGAAATAATTTTTTTAAAATATGAGACAGGCTATACAAGAATAGTCAAGTAATTTTCAAAATTCAACAGATGGAAAACAGCAAATTGAAAATGCATGTATGATTATGAGACAAGGAGAGAAACAGGAAAATAATTTAATCTCACTGGCATTATTACAATTGTACACTCCGAGCATTGACAGAATGCAGTGGCCAAATCAACTTCCATGCATGGAAACCATGGCTCAATTCAGCGGCCATACTTACCACCTTCTGTCTCCACCCCAGGGGCACCTGCCTTTTCATCCTTTTCCTTATCAGGGCTTCCTCTCCAAAGCTTCCTCTTCGCCTTTTCTTTCTCTTCCTGGAAAACACGCTCCCTGGATGTCGTAGATGGGCTTTCTGCAGTCCCTTGGGCCCCCTTCTCCATCTCTTCTTCCAGCACACTCCTGGAGCTCTTCTCTACTGGCGCTGGCTTGGTCTCTACAACTGCTTTTGTTATTTCCTGGTCTTCGATTTCAATTTCTAGCACTGTGTCAATTGGAAGATGGGATTTTCCTGGTGTATCATCTTCACGCTGCTCCTGAGACGATGAGCTTCTAGCACTTTGTTCTGAACTGACTTCAGTGAGAGAGTCCCTGTCCTCCACTGAAGATGCATCTTCACTACAACTTGAATTTGTGTGACTCCTGAATGAACTTGATAAAGCAGTTTTTCTATCTATAAATAATTAAAATGAAGACATCATTATATTTCCATAAAGCATTTGTGGTAGTTATAGTAATTATATTAGCAATTAATCATAGAAGAAGTAAATGAATATAGCATATTAGAGTTGATTTCTTACTCCCCTATGCTCTTTTTAAAAGTCCCGATTAAAACAAAACAAAACACTCTGAATCTATGAGTCCATTTTTAAACGAAGATTGTATTTAACTGAAACCAACCCTACTGTTTTGATATATGTTTTTAATATTTTCTTAGAAAATCCTTATAAATATCTACTTTGTTACCAAATACATTGACTAATTTTTTGCTTGGACAGCAAGAACATTTATTTCATTATCCTTTTGTCTAGCTAGGGTACTTTCTGTGCATGAAATTCAAATGTTTATCTACTGAAACAACCCATCATCCTAACATACTCTGGTAACTGGGAAGGATAATAGAATGTATCCATTTTCACAACACCTACACCCAGTAAATATTTCAAGACGATGCCCGAGATGGCCCTCACTGCAATCAGGCATGCGTAGGAGGAGAAGTGGCTTTGGGTCATCTTCCCTAGAAGCAGATACTGAGATGAGGATACAAGTGCCAGGATGTTTTTAAAGATGTGCTCCAGGACAGACTCAACAGAGCAGAGGAAGCAGGCAGGAAAGAGGAAAATGTCATTCTAGAGTATGAGTTCAAGCAATATCCCAGCCTCAGTCTGCTCCCACAGGGCTCTGTGGAATATAAAATTGCATTAATAATGGTACTCTCTTGAGGAAAGATAGTGGGCTTTCATATTTCTGCACCACTCAGACAATGGCTATCGGCCACCTTCAGGTGACAGGGACCCAAGGCACTTTCAGTCTCTGTGCCTTAGGATAAGGCAGCTCCAGTCACCCAGGGCAGTTTTTGAAAGTGGGGTGCAGGTAGAAGCTTTGCCTACAGAATGGTTTAAGGGCTTCTGGGAGACCTAGACAGAACACTGATGTGTACTTCAGATACACAGTATAGAAACTTCAGTACCCAAAAATAGTTGATGTGCTCCCCAAAGAATTAAAAAATCCTCTGACAAAGTAGTAGACACACTGAATCTCTTTAGGGAAGACAGCATAGATGTCACTGCATATACTGCTGCATGCCAGATAAATACAAATTTATATATTTAAATTTAAAAAGAAAGCATAAGCAGATCAATTGATTAGAAAAGCAAATTTGTATTCACCTGTCATGTAGCAGCAAATATATATGCTGTTTCCCAAAGCAAACTCTTACCCACGTACAATTCAGTGACATCAGTCACTCAAGCAACCATCACCAATATCTGTCATTGCTTTCATAGAGGATATTTTCCACTGAAATATTCCTACGCCTAAATCCTGCCTGATTTTGTCCTTCTTCTCCTGTCTGTGTGCTCCGTTATCGTTTTCACCTTTCACTTCTGCTTGGCAGATGTACAGACGGCAGTGGTAATGGATGCAGAGTTTATGGGAGGAAACGCCTGGCTTTCCTTATAGAGAGCTCTGGGTCCCTCCGGCTCTGCAGGACTTGTCTCGGTTTTTCAAGTAGAGTCTCAGAAACATATCAGAGTTCCCACAGAGATTTACGAGATTCCACACAGCAGTGAAAAACAAACTCGAAAACGCCTTAAGGCAGCAGAACCCCTTAAATACAATCCCATTCGTTCTTATCTGCCAACCGCCTTGACAGGCACCGGATGACCAGGACAGTTATTTTTCAAAGGAATCACATCTTTTAGCCACTCATTCCTTATCTCCACTTTATAAAATCTGGATTTGCTCTATCTCTGTATAGAACACAGTAGATCAAGGACAATTTCTTTCTCTCTGATTTATGCCACTTCAGAAATCTAGTGACTATGGTCTCTTCCTCCCTGTAAGGCCTTAAGAATGTTTTTTTTTTTAAAAAGAAAGGCAATTTTTGCGTGTTATTAATCAATGCCCATCATTTATTAAATGATTAGGACACAATGCTATCCATGTTGCCAGGTTCCTGCAGGGATTCATTATCTACCATCCGGCCCCTGACGTGGTCGATCCTGCTTGTACATCTTGGTGGTGGTTTCAGGCTAGAAAGTCTTAGTCTATCCAAAAAGCTGAGGCATCTTGTTCCAGTTTCCTTCGGAGAGGAAAGATCATGAGAAAGAAGAGATCCAAAACGCTGAGGAGACTTGACTTCTTGCGTAGACTTACAGCAGTTTTCAAATTTCTTTCTAACCTCAGTGTATAATTTTGTTTTACATTCATTTCTTGCTCTCATTTGCATACAGATGTGGGGCAAACTTGCCTACTCAAAATAAATAAATAAATAAATAGAAAGTCAGTTTGTGGCCATGGAATGGAATTCTTAGACCTAATTTTATGTATTCTCTTCAAAATAAAACAAGTTCATATATATATATAGAATATATGAGAGGCAAAAATCATCTTGTCAGTCTGTCTGTGAAAGTCCTCCCTGTCCCATTACATCTGTCCCTCAGCATTTCATCCTCTCTGTTTCCCGCTGGGACTGGATGGCAACACTCTGCTGTGGGCCTTTAGGGCAAAGAAATGATCAACACAAGTTGCGTGAGGGATTGGCCAAAGCCAGCAAATTTGGTGCCACCATGATTCTGTATCCAAAGTATCTCTGAATATTCTCTTCTAATCCCTCATTGTTTTCCTTTTTCATTGACAACTTATCTATCTTGCATCACCTATATTAAAGTCTGATTTCAAACAATATGCGATGAAGGGAAAACCACAGGCATTTCCAGTAGACGGATACAGATGTTTAAATGATGAATCAGCTATTTACTAACTACTTCTCTAAGAGCTCAGGTGGTGCACTGGTTAAAGCACTGAGCTGAACAGCAAAATGTCGGCGATCAGTTGTTCTGTAGGAGAAAGATAGAGCAGTCTCCTTCCGTACAGATGTACAGCCTTGGACACTCCATGGGGCAGTTCTGTTCTGCCCTAGAAGCTCTGAGTCAGTCAATTAGACAGCAACGGGGTTGACTTCACTTCTTTGAAGCCTCCGCTGTTATTGGATGTCATTGAACTGGTTCTGACTCACAGTGATCCTATAAACAACAGAACGAAACACTCCTGTCCGACACTATCTGCACTATTGTTTTCTGCTCCAGCCTATTGTTGAAGTCACTCTATCAGTCCCTCTCCCTAAGGGCTTTCCTCTCTTTCACTACCTTCTACTTTACCCAGCACAGTGTCCTTTTCCAAGGACTAGTCTCTCCTAATAATATGTTCAAAGTATGTGAGATGAAGTCTCATCATGCTCACTTCTATGGAGCGTTCAGGCTGTACTTCTCTGACAGATCTACTTGTCCTTGGAGAGTCCACCGTATTTTCAATCTTCTCTCGCACCGCAATTCAAATGCATCCATTCTTCATAGTTCTTCCTTAATGGCTGACTTTCATACGCATTTGAATCCATTGAAAATTCCATGGCTTGGGTCAGGTGCACCTGAGCCCAGAAAGTGACATGTTTGCTCCACAACACTTTAAAGAGATCTTGTGCCGCAGATTTCCCCAATGTAATGCACCATTTGACTTGACTTCTGCTTGCAGGAGTATTGACTGGATATAAGCAACGTGGACTCCTTGACAACGTCCATCTTTGTTTATCATGATGTTGCTACTACGTCCAGTTGTAAGAATGTTTTTGAATTTTCTTTATACTGAGTTGTAATCCATATTGAAGGCAGCAATCGATTTTCATCAGTGAGTGATTCAAATCCTCCTCACTTTTAGCAAACAATGTTGTGTCATTTGTGTATTAAAGATTAATAAGGTATCCTCCAACCCTGATACCATGTTCTTCTTCATAGAGACCAACTTTTCAGATTATTTGCCTCAGCATACATTTTGAATAAGTCTGATAAAAGTAGACAGCCCTGATGCCCACCTTTCCTGTTTTTAGAGCATGCACTGTCATCGTGTTCTTCCCAATGCCTGGCTCAACGTGAGCACAAAGAAGTGGCTGGAAATCTCGTGCATGTCTACGTCATGTGTAGTTTTTTATGGTCCACATAGTCCAATGTCTTTGTATAATCAACAAAAAATAAACGTAAACACTTTTTTCTGATATTTCTTGCTGTCACCCAAGGTAACTGGCATCACCAATGAAGTTTCTATATAGTGAAACTACTAAGTGCTGGATGACTAATCACTGAACGGGTGATTCAGACCCACCCGGAAGTGCCCAGAAGAGGGCTAGCGATTTCTCCTGAAGGCTGGCAGCCTGGAAAACCCTTTGGATCACTTCTACTCTGCACACTTGGATCCTCATAAGTCACAATCTACTAACCTGATCTCAACAACACCGGGCTTCTCTAAACTGCTGTTTCTTTGATGGTGAAATGTGGATAATTTAATCTCTTCTCCCTACAGCTTTGTAGAAATCATATGAGGAGAAAGTATTAGCCTAATAAGTTCATTTTCCCTCTGAGCCATCATAATGTATGCTGCTAAATTCCTTTCTTGTGAGACTTCCAACTTTCCTGAAAGCTTTACAAAGGACTGATATCTACCATTTAGTGTGGAAAAAGATAAAGCTGGGATTCTGATACTCGAGCTCTTTATAAACATCTCATTTAATGCTATCCGATAGTTATAATCTTCCTTTCCTAGGTCTAAAAAGTGAGTTCCAGAGGGGTTAGCTATTACTCACTATCCATCAGCCGCAAAGCAAGTTTAGTGAAATATTTCCTTCCCCGTGACCCACTAATGAAACCGAGAGATCAGTGTGCATGTGAGAGTTTCAAACATAAAACAACAACGGACAACCCACCGGTGCTTCTCTTCGCAAATTTGCCACTTTTATGACCCAAAGATGACAGTGGAAAATAGATCAGTCTCGAAAGGCAGAACCCATAGAATTCATACTGCCCCCGCCATTTCAATCTCCAATGTCATCGTTCATTTTGCCCATCACCTTAGAGCCTGCAGAGTACATTGAAACACATGGGGCCACTAAATATGAATACACAG